ATGAAAATATGCTTTAAATCACTAATCATCAGAGAAATGCAAATTAAAACCACAATGAGACATCACTTCACACCCATCAGGATGGATATCATCAATAAATCAACAAACAAGTATTGGTGAGTATGGGGAGAAAAGGGAACCCTTGTGCATATCTGATGGGAATGCAGACTGGTACAATTACTATGGAAAACAGTATGGAGTATCCTCAACAAATTAAAAATGGAACTGCCTTAGGACCCAGCTATTCTATTTCTTGGTATTTATCTGAAGAAATGCAAAACATGAATTAGAAAAAAATATATATGCACCCTTTGTTCATAATGGCATTATTTACAATAGCCAAGATATGGAAGCAATGCAATTGCCCGTCAATAAATGAGTGGATAAAAAAGCATTGGTACATACATACACAATGGACTATTACTTTGCCATAGAAAAGAATGATATCTTACCATTTGCAAACGCATGGGTGGACCTTGAAGGTATTATGGAAGTGAAATAAGTCAGTCAGATTAAAAACAAATAAAGGGTGTCCCAAAATTCGCGCAAGAAATAATTTTGATAGATAACACAAGTTTATAATTAAAAATCGTAACTTTTTTTGATTCATAAAGTATATAGTATAAGGTTATGTATGGAATAGCATATCGGGTAAATGGCCTCCACAGCTTTGCTGGCTCGTACACACTCTTGTTATTGCCTGAGCAGCCGCATAACAAAAGAGTGTGTATGTGTCAGCAAAGCCGTGGAGGCCATTTACCTGATATCCTATTCCATACATAATCTTATAGTTTATTCTTTATGAATCAATAAAAAATTTACAATTTTTCAATTATAAACCTGTGTTTTCTATCAAAATTAGTTCTTGCGTGAATTTTGGGACACCCTTTACCTTAGATTTTAATTATATGTAGAACCTAAACAAAATAAATGAAGATACAAAATAGAAACACACAATAAAATATACAGATAATGTATTATAGAACTGTATACTTGAAACCTATATATTTTTATTAACCAATGCAACTTCAATAAATTCAATAAATATAAATAAACAAAAATAAAAACAGGCTCATAGATATAGAGAACTGACTGATGGTTGCCAAAGGAGGGAGTTTCAGGGATTGGGTGAACAAGGTGAAGGGATTGAGAGGAGCAAATTGGTAATTACAGAATAGTCAAGGAGACGTAAACTACAGCACAGAGTATATAGTCAATAATATTGTAATAACTATGTTGGTGCCATATAGGTACTAAAAATATTGGGGGAAACACTTTGTAAAGTACACTATTGTCTAGCCAAAATGCTGTACACCTGAAATGAATACAAAATAATACTGAATATAAACTGTAATTTAAAAGTATAATTAAAAAAAACTAGTACAATGCCTGGCCCATAATAGAAGCCAAGTAAATTAATATGCAATGGCATTAGTCATACTGAGGTTTGCACTTCTTTTTGGATAAATTATAAAGGATATTTGTGTTTTTAGGTCACCTTGTTTTAGGCCAAGAAGTACTCTGGGACAAGGTATGAACTATAGCTAAGGAAACTATCTGAGCTCCAAATTGAAAAAAAGCCATTTTATTCTTTTCCTATTGTATCCTCTCTCATTAACAGGATGGTTAGCTTTCAGAAGTGGAATTTAAAACTCCTCGTGGAGCCTTATTGCATTGGCCATGCAACCATTCCTTGGCAAACTGTGGTCTAGTAGCTAATATTTTCCTTGAAAGTAGAGATTCCTCGAAGAAGTCAAGTACTCCTGACTTGACCTTATTTCAGTAATCAATGTAATGGGTTGAGGTTTGCAGCAGCACTAGTACTATAAAGAAGCCCCAGTTCTAGAACACCCATGGCACTGAAAACAAACTCACTGGATACAGAGCCTGAACTCTTGGAACTAATACCCATTAATAAACTGAATGACACTTGTAATACCATCCTTTCTGTGTACACATTACAATCTCAGTGTGAAACAAAATAAAAAAGCTGCTAGCAAAGTAAGTTCTATTTATATGCATAAAATTCTATGTTATAATAGAAAAAGTACTGGCTTAAAAGACTTATATTTTCCCATCTGTTAAATGAAAGTAATGATAGTACCTACCTCAAAAAACTACTGAGGTGCTCCATTTAAATAATATATTTAAATACCCTAAAACAAGCCTCATTCATAATAGATAGGTTTACTTATCCTTTTGGGGTCCTCCAATTCAGTATTTTAGTGTTCTTCAGGCAAGTCAAGACCTCTCCAGAACTCATCCTTGTAATGCAAGGGTTGTACTGGTGCGATTTTTTTTTAATCCTGACATTTTGGATTCCTTTGACAAAAGCAATGAAAGGAGGGAAGGGAAGGGATGGGAAGGGGAGGTGAGCGGAGGGATGGAAAAGGAAATTTTTGCTGAACTGGTTATTATTGACACTCCTATATGAAAGAACCTATTATAATAGCCTATTATAATAACCTATTATAATAGTGCACAAAATTGCATGAGACCCAGACCCGCAGGAAATCACGTGATACCCAGGGCCCCAGAGTCCCACCAGTGCCACGGGACTTCCCTGAGTCCTGGTGCACTCTGGGACCCAGAGTCAAGTCCCTGCCCACCCGCGCACAACTCACTGCACATGCAGCCTCCTGGTGACCGGTCTTTGGTCGTTATGGCATTACAACCACTGGGTTTTTATTATATAGATATTTTCTGTGCCTGATCTATGCATTTTAGGCTAAGTGAAGGGAGAGGAAATCCAAGCTGTAAATTTGTGGCCATTTTTTTTCCTGCTACCAAATAGCTATTAATCTTCAATTTCTCTTTCT